AGACAACCACGTGCCGTGCACACGACCTTCACTGGCTTCTTGAAAAGTATTAAGAAAATCTTAGTGTTTGCTGCTCCACAATTGGATTGACTAGGTAAAAATTTACGGAATTTAATGTATTATTTTCCTCTTCATTTTCTTTTTGCAATCTTTCAATTGTGACGACGTTTAAAAACTTCTGTCAAATATTTTCTAGATACTGAGCAAGGTGGTCTACGATGCGTTCTTTATGCGTTTTATCACCAGCTATTGAATACGCTACTTCGTTTGAGATGATCATGAACCCGAGAATAATTCCCCAAAAAAGAACAAAAATGCGTTGTCAAGGGCTGCGGAAAGACATATTTTGAAAGACCTCCGGAACTTGCAAAACCCTAAGTCAAGAGACTTTCTAGAACCTTTGTATATGTCAAATAGAACGAGATCCATCTATCACTAATCCGGTAATTAGGGCTTCCTCCAGACACGAAATAATTCAATTACCGCGTTCAAAAAACGTGGTCCTCCACAATGCTTGGCCGCCTCGACGTGTGGGAGTGACACTGGGTGTCGAATTACGATGCGCACCTGAGTGTATACTTTGGCAGAGTCTCTTGAGCTGTGAAGAATCGATGTCTCCGCTTTTGGCCGGATGCCTTAATTGAGAGCCGACTAAGCCAGGCCCCTAGCCGTTTGGTTCCCCGCTCCAGACCCGGGGTCAGCGATCGCCCCGTGGAAATAAGAGTAGGCCTAGTAAGTCTGCTTTTGTAGAGGAAAAATTTCTTATTTAATTAGCAAGAAGAAGAAGAAGATAAATAAACCATGTACGTCTGATCCTGCTTATGGCGCCGGGTGGTAGCCAGAATGGCAAGGTATTCGAGGTGCCTTTGGATCGGACAAAATGATTCGTCTCCCGAACGACACCTCACGGAGGCTGCCTCATGCTCTCACCTATAACGCCAGTTAACGCTAGGACAGTCTCCACAAACGCCATCTCCACGCTTTTCTTGATGTTGCAGAGCACATCAAGTACCACGTCATCGCTCTGC